ACGCGGACGGTGGTTCGCGTCCGGCTGGTGCCGGCGTGGCTGCGATCGTCCATGTAGTAAAAGTTGCGCGATTCTGGCTGGCGCCAGGGTGCGCTACCTGCGCCCCTGCCAGCGTCGTGGCTCTGGCACCAGTAGCCATCCTTAGTTCTGTCCCAGTCCTTGGCGTCGCGTCTGCGCCAAGGTGCCCCCGCCGCGCCCTGGTTGCGGTCGCGGTCGCGGTCGCGGTCTCGCTCTCCTGTGCGGGGCCGGTCGTCCTCTCTTGACTCGCGCCTCACCGCCGTCGTGTACGACTCCCAGGCCACTGGCTCCCGCACCCTGCTGCGCGAGCGCTCTAGGAGGTGCGCAGGGAGAGGGGTGAGTGCAGGTCGTGGGTCCTCCGGGCCCTGGGAGCGGCTCCGCGCGTGAAGGTTCCGGTCGTCGGCCGCGGCCTCTAGGCGCAAGATTGGCTCAGCGGGTGCGTGGGCAGCCTTCTGATCGGCACTGCGCGGGTCGATATCGGGGCTGGTGCGCCGCTCGCTCAGAGGACTCGTCTTGGCTTGGTGCTCTTCGACTGTGTCCGAGTCTGAGGACGAGGAGACGGGATGGACCTCGCCTAGGGCCTCGGCGAGGCGCAGCTTCTGCTCTTGTGCCTGGTCGTCGCTGCCCCAGTCGGGGTCCTCCTTTTTGGGAGGCATGCGGGGCACAGGTTCGTAGGTCGGGTCCTGTGCGTCGGATTGCGGCGGGTAGGGCTCGAGCTTGGGCCTGTCCTGCATTCCTCCTGAGGAGGCCGCGTTGTCTCCCCCGGCGTCGATGCCACGCGCGGGGCTGTCGAGGAGCGCTGGTGCTTGCTTTCTGTGCACCTTGCCTTGGGCATTGTCCAGAAAGGTAGCTGCCCGGAGCGCTGCGTCTCCACGGAGGACGTTTACGCGTAGCGTCCTGTCGCCGACGCCTCGTACTTCCAGCCACTCGCTGCCGATCTGGACGAGTAGCGGCTCCGTCCAGGGGCTGTGTCGATAGGGGCTCGGTGCAGTCCGCAGCGCTGAACCATCTGGCGCGGGGAAGGGTGTCACCCCTGATGACCACGTAGTCGCCGCACTGGATGCCTGGGTTGTCCGTGGCAGTTGGGCACAGGGAGCCCACGATGGGCGTGTCCAGGACCTGCCCTTGCTGCACTTCACGGCTGCCGTGTTCTGCACACCTTCCGAGGGGCTCAGGTGTCGGGCCGACGGATGGCGGCGCCCCGCCGGACTTGGCAGCCGTGGGTCGCGTGGCCGGCTGGGCTGGGGTCGGCTCGTCGCCACGCGGAGTGGGTGGAAGTGAAGGGGGAAGGGATGAATCGCCTCCGTTAGTGGGCGGTTTGATGGGTGTTGGGCAGGGTGTCGCGCGCCTTTCCTTCGTGGGCCTTGTTGACTGGGCTGGGCTGGGTGTCTGCTCGGGGCGCGCGCCCGCCCGGGGGGTGGTGCGCTGCTGGGCCCCGCCAGCAGTTGCGCCCTGTGGGCGGCTGGGCGGAAGCCGCAGCGTCGGGATCCCGGACGGGAGGTGGCAGTGCAGTGGCGCGGCGGTCGAAGTAGCTGCGCTCTGCCTCGTCCCAGGCGGCTGCGCGTCGAAGCACCTCCTCTTGGCTGGGGCGCGCTGCGCCCTCCGCCGATGAGGCGGCGATGCCCGATAGCGCGGGGAAGGGTTTGGCCCCTGCTCTTGGGTATACGTCAGGGCCGTATCTGTCGAGTACCTGACTCCTGGCTGATGGGGACATGTTCCATTGGTGGATCAGGCATTCCTTGCAGCACCAGCCCGCATGCCAGCGCTCGGGCAGGAACATGTCCCTCATCAGCTGTACGGGAGGAGCCCGTGGACCAGATTGAGGCCGTCGCGGAGCCCTTCTGGATCCGCGGCGTGCCCGTACATGTCAGGGTAGGCCTGCCCTGGCCCCCACCTGTGTCCCTCTGTGCCGGAGGGGCAGCCATCACATCTCCAGATGCCGACATTCCCCTTGTGGAATTTGATGATCAGGCGGTCGTCGTTCGTGATGCTGGCTGGGAGGGTGGTTCCCACATTGAGGGGGTTCAGTTCGCCTTCCAGTGGGACCAGTAGCTCGTCCAGGGGCGTCAGGGCCGTGGGTACGGACGTCGGACACAGCCCTGGAAGGGCACGCGTTGCCCGGACATGCATGTCGTCGGGGCGGTCGTTGATCCAGCTCTTGAAGTCCACGTCGTCTGGAATGGGCTGCCGCTCGGCCGTTGCCTTCGTAGTCCAGCAGCATATGCAAAGCCAGGTCAGGTCCTTCCCCCGGTAGTACTCCGTCAGCCTGTTGCTGCTGATTGTTTGGCGAATTCGTTTGCTGACGCAGGCGCCCTTATCGTGCTTGCAGGGGCCGCGCAGGCACCCTTGACAGTAGAAGTCAGCCTTATACTGTTCCTTCCTCCACCTGGCGTCTCGGCTGCCTAACCATGGGGGCTTTAGTGTCACTCCAGGGCGTGGCCCGACCGGGGCGGGTGCATCCAGGCGCAGGCGCGTGTAGGAGCATCCTCCACCTATCCAGGTGGCGCTGCTTGCCTGCTTGGTCGGGTCGTGGGCGAGGCCGGTGTCGGATCCGATCACGTCGACGTAGAGCACGCAAACGGCGCACTCGTGGACTGCCAAGGCTGACAGGTTGGCTGTGGACACGATGCCCTCGATGACTGCGAGGGTGGCCTGGAGCGGGAATTTCTTAGCCAATAGGCCCTCCCAGGTCGCGGGGCAGTTCGCACTCCTGGCCAAGGGGCGGTGATGGGCGACCGCGACTAAGCGGGACACCGCTGTGATCAGGAGCTCCAGTGCCGAGTGCAGCTGCTTGAAGCGTCTCCCCTGGAGCCCGAACAACGCGCCCAACTGGTCACGAGCAGTCTTGTCGGGCGGGCGGCGCGGCTCGCACAAGCCGAGGATGGCTTCGATCACGTCTCCGATGCCTACGGGTACAGACAGGCACGTGGTTCGCGCTGCATAGGCAGGGACAGGGCGAGGAGCACCCTGGCCTGGATGCTATCCAGGGTCGCGCCGGTGCTGCCCAGTAGGCTGCTGACAACTGCGGCCGGGCTTTCTCTTGGACCCATGTTGCAGAAGGCATGAAACACGGCCGTTGTGGGTGGCTCCTTGTGAATCTGGCACTTGCATGTAGATGGGTGCCAGCATTTGGGTCTGCGCCTGGGCACGTCGGTGGGGATACAGGTTTCCTTGATATGCCTCGCGGCTGGCATGTTGGGTCGGTTCGGGGCGGGATCAGGTTGGGGTCGAGTGCGTGTGCGTTGTCTTTCTCTGTGACTCCGAGTCCTATCGCCCGCGTGATGGTCGCGAAGACCGCAGTGTAGACCAGGTTGCCGGCGTCCAGTCCTACCACCGACAAGCGGACGAAGAGGTACCTGTTCATGCTCCATCCCTTCCTGTCCTGAAGGCTGGGGTCAGTAGGTTGGTCCGCGACGCCGTACTGGTGCGGGTGTAGCCCGAGGCACCATAGCAGGCACGGACCGAGTGCTGCGCAGCACAGTAGCCTCGTCGTTGCAACGTTGACGTCGTCCTCCAGGTCCTTCCAGCTGTGGTCGGCACGGAGCGGTAGATCGGCCCGTGCCGAGAAGCCAGCCTGCTGAGCCTGCCGGGCCTTGATTATTTCCTTCTCCTTCCGTCTTCGCTCGGCCTCCGCCACGAGCTTGGCCTTTTCATCAGGGTGGCCATTCAAGTATTTCGTCCATGAAAACCCTTGGGTCGGCCTTGGTCTGGCGTAGGCTTCCGTCTCGATGAATGTGGAATTCGAAGGCAAGGTCCGCCTTCCGGGCCCAGGTGCTCAGGTGATGGAGTGCCGCGTCTGTGGTCGTGCGGAACATCCTTGCGTCGGCCGCCATGATGAGGTTGCACTGTGGACGCGTCAGCCCCACGTTGATGCGGTGCCGGTCGTCGACGTGGCCCCAATTTAGCATGGAGTTGGCCCGAGTGGTCCTGAGGATGACGAGGGAGGCTTCCTGCCCCTGTGCGGCGTCGATCGCGGTGACCCGGATCGCCTCGCTCTCCAGGAGTTCTGGAAAGAGCTCTGCGACCCCGCTGAAGCGCTCACTCAGGCCGATTGCCGCCGTGGCGCGATTGATCCACGTTCCTCCCGTGGGCCCCGTGGTGGCGTGAGAAGGTGGAGCAGCCCCGTCCTTGTTGTCGTAGGGAGCTGGGACCGCTGGTCATGTCGGTTCCGCCCCCTTGCGCCGCTCGCGAGCAACGTCTGATGTCGTAGAGTGAGCACGGGTTGCAAACAAGTACGGGGGTCAGCTGGAGCTTGTACGGCGACAGTATGAGGATGGTGCTCTTGGTCCGTCTTACCCATGGTACGAGTGCACTCACCAGTGCAACCACCGCGCGCGCCTCGTGGATGTTCGCGTAGCCGTGCTGGAACTTGGACTGCACCTCTTGCGAGGGGATATGGGCGAGCCTGAAGCGATGCCAGTCGTGGCCGGTGCCGCTGCTCCCTTCGGGGCCACGCAAGCTGCCTTACTCCTGAATGCGCCTGTGGTGTCGATCAGGGAGTCGTCCGGCTCGTAGCTGGCGCCCTCGCTCTTCTCTGCTTCGTATTCTGGGTCGGACAGCGGTCGTGCGAGTGGCCACTCCAGTCCTTCGGCGCATGGCCGCTGCCGCAAGGGGTCCAGGATGGCGGAGATCAGTCTGCCCCCGTAGAACGTGAGCGAAGGCCACGCGAGCAGGGACGGATGGATCCGGTAGCACTCCCCCAGCGTGACGTTGCACTCGGGGATGTCTCCTATGGCTGCCACGTACTTGCCGAGGACGGAAACACCTACCCCCCACTGGAATGCCTGCTGAGATTTGACCGTTGGGCACAGCTGCCGCTCGTCGCCGAAGAGAACCGTCCTGGCTCCGCACCTGACGGCGTGGTTCAGGGACATGACGGCCATGGGCTCGGACGTTTGTCCTGCCTCGTCGAGAATACATATGAGGAGCTTCTTTTCCCGGAGGTCGGTTCCCGCTTCGTGCGGGGCCTAGATAAGTTTTGCCTCGGTAGCGACTTCCGAACGAAACTTGCGGAACAAGCTCGCACGCCCCGCGGTGACGTCGTCCCCTGATACGTTGTACATCTTGGCGCACTTGGCCGCGGGGGTGATCGTTTTGGCCACGTTGCCCTTCACCTTGTCCTCGTGCGCGAGGCGGACTGCCATGCGCGGGAACAGGTCCTTGTCGTCTGGATGCAGGTTATTTCCGATTTGTTCTGCCAGGTTGCCCATGGAACCGCCGGTGCCGCCAAAGAAGTCTACCCCCCACCCTGGGGGGAGACAGGACATGTAGGCGCCCGCTACGCATGCTGTGACTTTGGTCTTCCCAGTCCCGGGAGGTCCGTGGCAGAGGGTGGGGATCAGGGCGTTCTGCGTCGCCAGCACGCAGCGTCGCTCTGCGTCGTTGGCGCGGTGCAGGTTACAGATGCGCGTAAGTTGTTCCTCCTTAGGGGCCAGCAATAATCGCTGGAAAACGCTGCCTGGGGACTCCTCCGCCAGTTGCGGCGTCAGCGCAGGCGCGCCGGTACGCGGCTTGGCACGGGGTTGGTCGGGGTCGCCGATAGTGCGCCCCAGGGTCACCGAGGCCTGCGCCAGCAGAAGATCTGCCGCTTCTCCCTGGGCTGGCACGGCCAGAGCTCTAGCCTCGTTGTCGTAGTCCTCGTGTCGGAAGACAAGCGCCCATACGATGGGTGGGAGGGCGGTGACCCACAGAGCCGCCTTGTCGCATCCGATTGAAAAGAACTCCCGTATCGCCGCGTTGACCTTGTTAAATTGGGTCTTCCTCGTGGTGCGATCGACCCTGTAGTATGCCTGGCCTGGGTATGGCCTTGTAACTGTGTCGTCGGCGTCGTGGAAGGGACCGTTTCTCTTGGCGTCGTAGTGGACTAGCGCGATTCCAGCAGGGCAGCTCCGGTCTGTGCCTGAGACCCTGGCACCGGGGGCGGGAGGCCAGACATGCGTCATCTCTGCCAGGACATCCGCTGTTGACGAGGATTTGGAGATGAGGAACGTGTTCGGGGTGTCTGCTACCATGTCGCGCTCCGTCCACTCCATGGCCCAATTGGTGTCCCAAACCAGCAGGTAGCACTCGCTGTGGCCCAGCTATCCAAGATTTCCTGGCACTGCTCATCGGGCTGGGAACAGGTGAGGATCTGCACGCCTAGGGCGCCCGTGGTCTTACTAGCGATGGCCTGCCGGGCCATGGTGGCGCCGTCGTCCGGCGGCTCCACGTCCGCGTAGAACTCGGTGAAGAAGACCCCCCTTAGCTCTTGCCCGTGTAACTGCATCCGCCAAGTCCAGTCGCGGGGTCGTGGGACAGCCCCAGGGACCGGTCCTAGGCAGAGCCGCGCTGCCGAGCCGTATGGGACCATGTACCCGGGAGCGCTGTAGAGCTTAATGGCGTTCCTGGCGAGCTGTATGCGACGCCCTTCGATAGCGGGTGCCCCAGAGGACGCGGGGGCCCGTTGTCCGGCCGCGTAGGGCGCTGCGGTGTTGCTGGCGAGCCCCCCGTGCTGGACAGGGTGACCAAGGGTAGATGTCCATTGTGGGGGTCCAGGGATGGCGGGCTGGGGCGGTGGCGGGTGCCCAAGCGGGGAAGGCGGTGCGTTGGCGAGTTGTCCTGAGGCCGGGTTGGACGTACCCCTCATGGCCAGGGAGCCGGCCAGTGCCTGCCGAGCGTTGTGGAGTAGTTGCTCCTGTGTTTGCTGGGGGCGGTGATTCTTGGCCCAGGGGTGCTGTACTTGCCACTGATGCACCATCCCAAGCGGGGGTGAGTACCCCGGTCGGTCGTAGCGCGTAGGAAATTCAATCGGCATCGCGCCCCAGTCATCCTCGCAGACGCAAGAGTCGATGGGAATGGGTTTTGCGTGAAACTCCCAGTCCCAGCACCAGACTGGGTAGTGTGTCCTCCTAATCTCCATTGTGTCCAGGCCCCTCGTCATGGCCCACAGCTCGCCTCAAGCTTTGGGGGTCAGGTAGCCCGCGTGGCAGTAGCCGTCCATGTGCTTGTCGATATGTGTCTGCTTGCGCTGTCTCATTTGCTCGCTTGACGTGAAGTGCCAGGTTCGTTGACCGTTTTGCTGCACTCGTCGCAGAGCCAGCATCACTGCCCGCCGCCGTTGTTGTCGTCGATGCACGCCCACCTGACATCCGCGGACTCGCGACACCTGAAAATGATCCGCTCTTCTTTGTTCGTGGGCGGGCACGGGCGGCACGGGGCAGCGCGCGGCCACCTGGCCAAGATGCCCTGTTCGCCATGGAGCGCAGGGGGGCAAAAGAAGCCCAGCTTCCAGGTAGTTGCCGATCCGACCGGCGGAGCCCTGAGCCTTAGCAGCTGCGGCGGCGGGAGGGCGAGGGAAGAGACGGGGCGAGATGGGGCGCAACCCCTGGGTCTACACCCCCAGAACGCGCGCAGAAGAGGGGAGGTTAGACGCATCCCCAACTGGCGCCGGCGGTGAACCGTCAACCTGGTCACCGTCGGGAACCTCGTAGAGCTCATTTCACGCGAAAGAGTGCTCGGATTCGAAAGAGAGAGCTTCTGGAAGCATTTCTCAAAAGAGAGAAAACATGATTTTTTTCGCGTCGACATGAAGATGGTTGCGCCAAGTGTTTCGATAGTAAAAGTACGCCTACAGAGCTCATACTAAGACAGAGAGGCCCTAATATTCGTTTACAGGTGCGCAAAAATCTGGTTTCTCAGAATCAATTGTCAAATAACTTTCAAAAAATCGCAAAACCACCCAAAGTTTTCATACTGGGCGCCGGCGGTAAACCGTCAACCTTTCTTACCGCCGGGGGACTCGTAGAGCTTCCTGACAATATATACTGTGGGGAAAAACTCCAAAGAACGACTATTTCTCAAGCCCAAGCGATTTCAGACCTCTCAAGATAACGCTAACAAAAAACAAACAGTTTCGCAACCCAGTTCGAGTATCAAACCGAGTTCAGACCTCTGAATGCGACAGGCGGGCGCGTCTGATGTCTGCGAACCCACCCATGTGATTCCAGCCCTAAAGCCCCCCCTACAGCCCGTTAAGTGCAGAAAACCGACAGTATCGACTCGAATAATATAATAGTTTTGCGAACCTAGTTCGAGCAGCAGACCGAGTTCCGAGCTCTGGAATCGACCGCAAGACGCGCCTGATGTTTGCAAATCGATATATGTGACCTGCAGCACTGTAGCCCTCCCCCAGCACGAGTTGAGTGCAGAAAATTGAGAGCACGTCTCAAGATGATTCGGACAATACGAACAGTTTCGCGAACCTAGCTCGGGCAGCAGGCCGAGTTCAGAGCTCTCGGTTTAATAGACGAACGCAGCTGATGATTCCCCATCGATGTCTGTCACAATGAGCCCTGTAGCTGCCCTACAGCTCGAGTTAAGTACAGAAAACCGAGAGCGTCTATCAAGATGACTCGAATAATACGAATAGGTTTGCCGACCTAGCTCGGCTAGCAGAACGAGTTCAGACCTCTGGATTGAACAGGCGAACGCGCGTAATGATTCTGAGTGCGATAGGCGTGCTTACCAGCACTGTAGCTGCCCTGAAGCTCGAGTTAAGTACAGAAAACCGAGAGCGTCTATCAAGATGACTCGAAGAATACGAATAGGTTTGCGGACCTAGCTCGGCTGACAGACCGAGTTCAGACCTCTGGATTCAACAGGCGAACGCGCCTGATAATTCTGAGTGCGATAGCTGTGCTTACCAGCTCTGTAGCAGCCCTAAAGCTCGAGTTAAGTACAAAATACCGACAGCGCGTATCAAGATGACTCGAAACGGTCGTTCCCGCCGGGACGCTTTTTGGCCTTCAAAGTTACCCGATCGAGCTGAGATCAAGATGGCGAGCGGTAATAAGATCGAATATCACGGGGGAAAAATACTAGAGCTCAAACGAATTGTCAAATTTCGAGAACAAAATTTTCAACCGACCAAAAGTCACCAAAAGGTCCGTCGCGATTTTTCTTGCCAAATAGCTCTCCAGCGCTCCGGAACTGGGCGCCGGCGGTGAACCGTCAACCTGGTCACTAGTAAGAGTGGAGAGAATCGACACATAATCAAAAAATAGAGATTTCTCGAAAATCTTGAGATTCGATTTTGTCGATGTTCATATTCGCTCAGTTCCCGGAAGTCAACCCATGCAAAAATGCATCGAGAGAGCTCAGCTGCTGTCAGAGAGGAGTTCATATGCCAATGCTCGGCGTAAAAATCTGCTTTTTCAAAATAAATGGTCAAATATCTTTCAAATTTTCGCAAAACCACCCAAAAGTTACCACATTGTCCGCCTCGGCCGGCTGGGCCAACTAGCTCCACCCCGCGCCGGAATTCCTCTAGCTCATCGATGCCGAAGAGCTCTACGAGGTACTGGGCGCCGGCGGTAAACCGTCAACCTTTGTTACCGCCGGGGGACTCGTAGAGCTTCCTGACAACATATACTGTCGGAAAAAATTGCAGAGAACGAATAGTTTTAGAGCCCAACTCGAGTATCAGACCGAGTTCAGACCTCTGAATGCGACAGACGGACGCGTCTGATGTCTCCGAATCGATTCCTGTGATTACCCGCGCTGCAGCCTCCCTACAGCCCGAATTAAGTGCAGAATGCCGACAGTAGCTCTCGAGTGACTGGAAGAATGCGAACAGTTTCGTGATTCTGGATTGCGCAAAAGACTGAGTTCAGAGCTCTGGATTCAACAGGCGAACGCTCCTGATCATTCTGAGTGCGATAGGTGTGCTCACCAGCACTGTAGCTGCCCTCCAGCTCGAGTTAAGTAGGAAATACCGACAACGCTGCGGACCTAGCTCGGCTAGCAGACCGAGTTTAGACCTATGGATTCAACAGGCGAACGCGTCTGATCATTCTGAGTGCGATACGAGTGCTTACGAGCACTGTAGCTGCCCTACAGCTCGAGTTAAGTAGAAAATACCGACAACCCGTATCAAGTTGACTCGAATAATACAAACAGGTTTGCGGACCTAGCTCGGCTGACAGACCGAGTTCAGACCTCTGGGTTCAACAGGCAAACGCGCCTGATTATTCTGCATGCATTAGCTGTGTTTACCAGCTCTGTAGCTGCCCTAGACCTCGAGTTATGTTCAGAAAACCGACAGCGCGTATCAAGATGACTCGAAACGGGCGTTCCCGCCAGAGTGCTTTTTGGCCTTTAAAGTTACCCGATGGAGCTGAGATCAAGACGGAGAGCGGAAATAAGATCGAATATCACGGGAAAAAATACTAGCGAATTGTCAAATTTCGAGAACGAAATTTTCAACCGAGCAAAAGTCACCAAAAGTTCCGTCGAGATTTTTCTTGCCAACTAGCTCTCCAGCGCGCCGGAATTACTCTTAGCTTCCAGCAATAACGAGCTAAGGGAAGCTCTACGAGTTGTTACTCTTAAACTTCCAGCAATAACTTGCTAAGGGAAGCTCTACGAGTTATTGTCCGCCTCGGCCGGGTCGGCCAACTAGCTCCACCCCGCGCCGGAATTCCTCTAGCTCATCGAAAAACGAAGAGCTCTACGAGGTACGACACCTCTGCCTAGGAGCCTGCGAGCACTGGGCGCCGGCGGTAAACCGTCAACCTTTCTTACCGCCGGGAGACTCGTAGAGCTTCCTGACAATATATAATGTGGGAAAGAATTTCAGAGAACGACTAGTTTTTCAGCCCAAGCGATTATAGACCTCTCAAGATACCTCTAACAAAACAAACGAACAGTTTTCCAATCGAGCTCGAGTATGAAACCGAGTTCAGACCTCTGAATGCGACAGGCGGACGCGTCTGATGTCTGCGGATCGATTCCTGTGATTACCAGCTCTGCAGCCCCCCATACAGCCTGAAAAGCCTGACCAGGAACTCCTGAGGCAGAAGGGCCCACGACCGAGGGTTGAAGTCATCAGCTCCGAGGCCCGTGTCGTGCTTGAATCTACCCAACGACCATCTCACCACCTGCAAGTCTGGGCGCCCAAGAGGCTCGGCCTGCATAGCTTGCTCCAGTTGGCTTGCACTAAGCCCAGACCTGTGGTCCTGCCGGTAGGTGTCCCACTCCTTGCGAAGTGCATCCACAGCCTGGTCCCCTTGGAGTTCAAGCCCGTGGCCCCCGACAGGCCCAACAACAGAATTCTTCTGCTTGCTGTAGCTGTGCGCCACCTTCCCTCCCTTTTCCACTGATTCCTTAGCCCAAGTTTTCCACTTAGCCCAGCGCCTGCGAGAGTGCTGTGACATCAGATGATCATGCGTGGATCTGGCCGACGGAGGGGAAAAAAACGATCTCTCTGCCATCAGTAGCAGCGATTGCCTCCACCAGGTCGCTGATCGAGGGCGCCAGCACTAAAAACTGAGGCAGGAGCAACTCTTCGTCAAGGCGAAAAAAAAGGCAGCCCTGACATATTGCCACAGCTGGTCCCCGAAGCCGCTCGAGGCGCAGTGCTCCGCTTT